AAGTAACTGCATGACTTTCTCCATAGTTAATATTATATGATCTATCCAACCTCGATACTTTGTAGGATTAAACTGAACTTCTAGCTGACAGTCAACTTTTTGTACCAGCTGGGCTTTTTACTTTATCTTAACTGGATGCTAGCAAGATGATCCCTGTATTGTTCTTAACAAAATAATTTCTGTCTTCCCAGAAAGAATTATTATTTCCTGAAAAATGGATGTCAGTGAATGGATTGAACATCACAAGTTAAGTTTTCAAATATTTGGATAAACTAAAATCTCAACCAACAGGCTAGTCAAGCAAAATATGCATATAGTCATTGCATAAGCAAAAACCTGCATTTACATGCACAAAGACTATATTTTCCCACTCTTATGTGGGATTCAGTTGACAAAGCTAGCACAGTCAACAGTTCTTACTGTAAATATTTTTGAAAATTGAATGATCATTTCATTTTTGAATGAATCATTGAGGCAAAACGCTCAAATTCCAGGTGAATAAGAAAGAAAACTGATATGAATTCTAGTCAGATTTGAAGTTTTGGATGGTTTTTTTTCCACACCTGAAAAACGAATGTAGCATAAAATGTAAGCATTTAATTCATAATTCAGGAAAAGTGAAATACTGACCAAACATACCTATAGGTTCTTATTTGGGAATGTTTCTTGAATTAAACCTGAAGGCTTGTAAAACATTATGAACAGCTCCTATTGAAATTAGTGACTGGATTCCAGTTGGACTTGATCTGTCGGTGATGCAAGGCAGCCACAAATCTGATTCCAGAAAAGTAGTCTGTGATCATCCATCTGAAAAGCTATGATTGATGTAAGGTATATTAACTAAATATTAGAATTTGTTAAGTATTAGAAAATCTTGATGTCTGTATTTTATATCCCAGCAGTCCTCTCTTTGGAAGAAAATAATTTCAGTCATGGACAGTTTTGTTTGAGAAAGGACTATGAGATTTTAACATAGTATAGTATATTTTGAGTTGCTTGTTAAATTAAAAAAAATAATTTTGACAACAACAAACTTTGGAATGAGACTATTACATTTTACAAAACACTATCACAAAAGCAATATAATAGTAAAAAAAGCTGCTATACTCATTTAAACACATTTCAGGAAAAAAGTAATGGTTTTAATATATGGAAAAATTATTATATTATGGACACTGAAAATGTAGTCATATTTGTTTTGAAGTATGTTTATGTTGTCAGATGGAGCCCTGAGAAAGATAGCAAACAGCAATTTATTTTCGGAAGTTATAAAATGCCAAATAACGAGTTGTCTTTTAAATGCTGTAGTAAAATACCCAGAAGGATAATCACCACAGCTCTAGGAAAAGCAAAATATTATGTCTGTAATCATTATGAGCATGGTACTGTTGGAAGAAAACAGTCATTTATGTTCAAGCTAACTAAACTGGCCAGACAGGAAGAGATGGTCTAAGGTAGGTTTAGAAAAAAGCCCTTTGGATTAGAGACTTCTGTTCTTAAGTGCATGTTCCACTTGCACTGTTAATGACAATGTTTATCATTACCAAAGATTTTTTATTACAAAACCAGTATTTCATGAGATGAAAATGGAAAATAATAAGTTGTTTGGGTTTGATTTTTTTATCAGAATGAACAGTCGCAAGAATACTAAAAATTTAGCAAGGAATACTCACTTATTATTAAAGAAAATATAATATGCATCGCATGCAAAATCATTCAAATTACTATTTGCTTAAAGTTAGATGTCAGTACTTTGCTGAATTAGGTGCATGGATCTAAATCTTTGTCCAAAGCAATAAACACAACTAGGCAATTAGAAATAGAAATTCTATGATTTTGTAATAATGATTTGTTACATTACATCTATTTATGACTTTACACAGTTAGAAATATGCAGAAACTAACAAATGATGATTCTGGGCAAGTAGAGAAATGTAAAGCCCATTAATCTTAGAAGCCTAAAGCTGCAAGTTGAAGCTCTCATGTCTGTGAATTTCAATCTGTCAGTATCATATAATAGAATACCCTGTGTTAGCAATATGTATGTATGTATGTATGGAGCACAAGACAGCCAGTAGAACAATCCCTGAATGCACAATGTGAAGACAAATATGTAATCTATAAGTTTGAAGTGATAAAAGTTCTTGAGGACTGCTCAGTTTTGCAAGAAAAAAAAAAAACAATAATCCTGTAATTACACAGCAATTTTTAAGAACATAAATGGATGGTAAATACTGTAAATTTATATACAACCAAATGATAATTATGTTTTATATTTGAAAGAGTCATCAAGGAACTGAAGCAGGTAATTAAATTGACTCATCTGCTTTCATCAAATTTGTAAAAGTACATAATAAAGTCACGCAGAAACATGGGATTGGGGTATACACTGTGTTCCCTGGAAATTGTTGGTGTTATATTGGTTATAAATATATATGTGAAACTATTTAATTATGTAGGATCCAAAGAACTTTGTTTTAGGCAAGTCCATTCATTTCAGTACTGTTAGCCCGGATGACAGTCAATGAAGATCTCTGCCTAGATTCATGTTGGGGACTAACCTATCCTACCCCAAAACAGTCATGATACAAGCTGAGTCTGGCACCTACTCACCACGATATTCCTCTTACTCTGAAGAAATAGTAACTGTCTTTCTATCAAAACCCCCTTGTACAGATGAGCGTAACGGACCGAATTTCTTTTTATTTCACTTTGACATTTCACATTTCCACTCCCTGGGTAGAATTTTTCTCTCCTCTTATGCAGGACTTTTTTGATCTTCCTCTTTGTCGGTAAGTATAACATAGTCCATGGAAAAATTTATAAAATAAAACAAAAATATGAAGATGTAAAGGGAACTGGCTTAAGAGAATGACAGGAAATGAGCCAAAGTGTTTGATTGTGTATTTCCTTATGGGAATTAAAAAAAAGAAAAAAAAGGATAGTTGAGACAAAGGAAGAATTGTTAAGTAAGGAGCATAAAAGTTCATGAAGTACACTTTAAGCACTCTAAAAACAGATTGAACGAGTATATGAAAAGTGTAGAGGCAGATAAACAGCAAAGAGCACACAGAGACTTTAATCATCTTGTATATTCATCCAAATTCTGAAAGAAACAAGTTGGTTTGAGTTATCAAAGTATAAGCTTCAAAACACTGGATTTTTTAAATATTGTTTTATTTTTTGAGAAATACTCTCTCCCAACCTATTTTTCCTATTTTCTTCTTAAAACACAGTAATACTCTTAAGATCTACATGTTGCAGGGGATGTACAATCAAGCATGTAGTGTGGATAAAGATCAGTTCTGAGAACCAGTACAAGTTCCTATGAGTGAAATAAATCTGACAGAGTATGAGTGGAAATTAGTTGCCCCACTGGTCTTGTACTAGCCTGCACAGCTGTGAATATTATTCTGTTTGAATTCTTTATCCCCTAAGTATTTATATAAAAAAATGACTCATTAGAAATAACTGTTAGCTAAATTCACAAGAACTCATAGACTACGTTAGCCTACTCTCAACATTCAGAGCTCTGTGCTTACTACTTGTCGGAGTGACACCACAGAGTTCAAAAGATGCTGAGTTGCGTTAATAAATTATTAGAAAGATAAGATATTTGATACATACTTGTGTTTCCATGAGGAGCCGAGTCTAAATATGACATATTATTATTGAAGTATCCAAATAGCATCGTATGACAAAAACACAACACAAAATATATTAAGGCAACTAGCACACTTTCCTGGAACAGAACTATTTATAATATCCAGGATTAAAAAAACTTTTAAAAAAACCACAAAAATTGCCTTTTTAGAAAAGGCTTTTTTTTTTTTTCCTTTTTTTTTTCTGCATCAAATATGTGCTAATCAGCAGTCCTAGCACTTTGGTCATTTTAGAAAACAGATGGTTGACAGACATTTAAGAGAAGAAAAATACAAAAAGGGAAAGCAGTGTATCTGAAAGTATTTTACATTTATACCTTCTAGGTACTGTCCGTTCATTTACTTGGTAGGCTTTTAATTCCAGGATCTGTTTGAATTTTGCTAGAGCTAAACTTTGTTTAGAAACACTGTAACTCTTTCTCCATTCAATTCTTTTAATCAAAAGCATTAAACAGACTGATCAGCAATATAAACATGGTAACCCAGAAATTACTCAAGTACTCTCTGTTAGCAGACTCTCTAGCTCAGAGTTAGAAATCTTGTTCAGTAACTGAGGAGAACACCTCAGTTATACACCTTCTCTATGGATCCACAGCAACGCGCTGGAGAAGGATTTGAGATCAACTACTACATCCTAAGTGAAATCATTTGACTTAGCCACATAGTTGTAAAATTCTGGCGTTTTGCATTCCTCTTTTTTTTTTTTTCCTGGGGCTAATTAATATTTAATTAGCTACATAAAGTGGATCAGCTTTAGCTGTATCCCAAAGTCCTCACCAAGGAAGTAGGATTTACAGGTCCATATCCCTGCTCCAAAACAGCATCAGATGGGATTTGACAACCTACCTATGTGAAAATGATAACTACCTCCCTATAGGGAAACACTGTCTAGCCAGAGCCAAAAATGTCTGGTTCCTGCCTGTCCTTTCTGTTATGCTTTATTTGGTAGTCATGATCTGAGGAGGCCTAAGACACTGGATCTGACTGGTGATATAGGCAGGAGAAAGCCTTGCTGAAAATGGCCCTGGGGTTAGGTGTGAGCTTGGGATTTGAGCGTCTCGCGCAAGCAGGACGTGGGCAGTTCTGACATGCCCGCTGGCAGAAACTATGTGGACTTAAACATCACTGGGGCAACTACAGGGTAACAGCAGATAAATAGGTTTTTTAAGGATCTTAGAAGCAGTTAAATGCTGCTGAAAGGGAATGGAAATTAAGATCCTATATGTGTAAGGTAATTTTTAAAATGGGACTTACGTGTTTTTGAAAATATCATCCTGATAACTCAAAACTAAATTTAAATATACAGCATAAATGCAATTGCATTTTTTTTTGTCCTACAATATCATAAAAACTATTTTTTAACAGATTACATGCTCGATTATGTACTCCTTTACAGCAGCTTCATGGCAGGGAAACTCCAGCTGAACAAAGCTAATGTAACAGAGCAGAAAATCAAGTTCACCGTCTAGTTTGGTCTAATCTCTAATTCATATTCCTAAAAAGTTAGAGAGATGCAGAAGCAGACCCAAAGATTAGGGGATATAAAATCTCCAGACTTTTGGTCCAAGCCAGTCAGAATGCTCCTGTTTCACTGAGTATCAATATTACAAGGTCTAAACAGTCTGTCATGATTTAGCAAAGCCAAGAGCCTTGCACCTGTTAGCAGTTAACCCATGAGACTGTCCATGCATTTAAGCACAAGTATACTATTAAGCACATAAATAGACAGTTTACTTGGCTAAAGCGGTGCCACAGTTTTAACATCTTGAAGGGCTGAAATCTCAAGACAACAAGGTTTACTAATTCTTATAAATATCCTCCAAAATATGACTTTTCATAAATGCGTGACTGTTTTCAACTATGTTGACAACAGTACCATGTCCCCTGAAGTTATTTCAGAGTCCTGACTGTGCGTAGAGCTGATTCCAGTGTCAGAGTCTGTATCATTTATGTCCAGATTGGTCACTCTGTGAACAAAGTCAGGAACAGCAATGCTGTTACTGGAGATGCCACTGCCGTTGGATGGCTCTTCATTTGATGGAAGCCTAGTTTCAATGCTGTCTTTAACATGTAGTAAATTAAATTCTTCTGTAAGAAGTTCATATTCTTTTTCCTTCTTTTGAAGCAGTGAGTCCCTGTATGTAAGTTCTTTCTGAACGCAGCTCAAGTATGAGTTGATTCTCAGACCATCTTTCATACTTTTTTCAAGCTCATACTTTACACTTTCCAAATTGGAGTTTTCCAGTTCAGCATTAGCAGCTCCTTCTGTGCGAACATCATCTCCATTTTTTTCTGTGCATATACCATGTACTTCTCTTTCAATTTCAGCACACAACTTCTCTATTAATTGTTTGTGATGTTTCAGTCTCTCTTCAACATGTAAAATTCCCTCACTTTTGCTCAAATAGTCATGCACCTCTTTTTGATCATCTGGCCTACTCCCTTGCTGTTCAGCCTCACTTGGATTGATCATTAAATAGGAGTCCTGCACGTAATTTTCTCCATCATTGGCTACACGATCTAGATGGAATTTTGCTTCACATTTTTCAATTTCCATATCTAGTTCCTTCATTCTAAGGACTTGTTGATGAATGGTATGATCTTGAGAAATGATCAGATGAATCAGTGTCTCCATATTATCTCTCTCTTGCTGAACACTGTCCTGTTTAAGCTTGGCTAGTTTCCTGAAAGTCTTCCTGACAATTTTCTTTTGCTTGTCTATTGGCAACATCTTCATGTAATTTGCCGGACTGAGCTCCCACTGCTTTTCCACATTTTGTACTACCTTAGCTTCAGCTGTCTTCCACAATGGAAATGAGAGGAAAGCATCTGACTTTACCAACACAAAGTGCAAATTAGACTGCTCTTCCCCCCAGGCCTTCCAAAGTCTCAGAATCTTTGTCAAGGGAGGCAGTACTCGCTCAGAGCCTCTCCATTTTTCTACAATGCAGTAATCACTAGGTTTCCCAAAAAGGACCTTTTTCTCTCCAAATGTTGCCTGGTGTTCCTCAAGCAGTGCTTGAATCACTTCTGTGCAAGTTGTGCGCTTTGTCAGGCCACATACAATCTTCTCTTCCTGGCAAACCCAAACCACAATCTCTCTTTCATTTGAAGCCATGTCCTTGTTGGGAGACCTGGAAAACAAGAAGAGATCAAATATAAATTACATATCAATGGCATAGACTAATAGCTATAATTCTGACATGACTACCACATTGAAAAATTCCTGTATTATTGTACAAGACAATATACTTGTTTAAATTACATGAAGAAATACCTTTGGATTAAGTAACAGAAAAACACACCCATTTCAGCTGCTGCTTTAATACTACTAGTCCAGCTGAATGTGAATCTCACACAAAATGTCTTTTATCAAATTTAGTTTCTGTACACATAGTGAGTGTGTATAACAATAAGTGATAAAGCTTGGCAATCTGCATTACATTTCTAGACTGTCCTAGGATAACGTAACTTTCAGATCTGCATATCTGTTCTCATCACACAGACACTGTGCAAACATTTGTAAGTTCTTAATATCACCAAGGCTTCTGAAGGGAAGAATCATGCCTCCAAATATGCACTGAACATAGATGGACTGAGAAAAGATGATTGAACACCACCTAAGTTAAAAGAACTTGATTATAGGATAAATCTACAGCTTTTTTTGCCACACCTGTACCCACACAAGCATAAACACCATTGTTTTATTATTTTTCACTAACAATTCTCAAGAAATTTGTTGCTTTTCCTGAAGTACCAAATAGCTTGAATTCCAGCGACTTGTGAGAGAATACCAACTGCGAGAGAATACATATATACGTCTGTATTTTATAACCTTTGTAACGACACAGAAATGCCAGAAAATGTAAAAGGTTTAATTTTTTTTTAAATTTATTTATGAATTCCAATTAATGTGGTATTAACCTGACATTAGCAGCTGGTACCTCCTTACACATTGAGATACCTAACTTCAGGTGTCTAAGATCCCATTATGACTGCTGTAGCTGTCTAATCAATACAATCAGTGGAGCCTAGAGAGCAATTCAGCTGACCAAACGTAGAAGTTCATTTTACAGTTAACTCTTAAGTTTGTCCCCATCTGAGTAGCCCTGGACTGCCATGGGCCTACATTGGCAGAGTGGCCTTGTGGAACCTGTCCAGGATATTCCTGTCCTCTAGCCTCCACATGCATAATTTGCTGCTTGCCCAGACCTGGTGATTTGGCCTCTTGTCTAAAATGATAAAACAATAAATTCCCTGAGGAAAAATGCATTTCTTTGGATTTTCTGGTATCACTTCCAGTTCATTTGAATGAATGAAATTTCACCCAGTCTGACAGAGAAAGCTTGAAAATGAAAATGACAATTTGGACAATATTCTAAGGGCTCAATACCACATTTGTTTCTAACTGGGACTACTTATTCACAGTACTTTTCTATTCTTTTGAGATGTAGTAGCAATGGAGTTTTACTTGACGTAATTAGGGTTATACCCTGTGATTATTACAGCAATCCAACTTGTTTCTTTTTCTTAATTACTACATAACACGAGAGACAAACTGCAATCCAATAAATTGAACTATGATTGACTCAGCTCTAGGTGCCACTCTGACCAGGAAGCAATAATCCTCAAAAGATGGGAGACTGCAAATGAATACTAATAAAACCTGCAAGAATGAATTTATTAGTATCATCACACAGGAGACCTCTGTCCAACTACATTGCTCCAGGTCTTGGAACATTCCTCTGTAAAATTTGTGTTTTGGTAGATTACTCTGAGTAATGACATAATTTTCCCACTTCAATAGCTCCCTCTTGCAGGCCAGCATTTTACAGTAATTATTTTTTAAAACTGGTGTTCAGAAGATTAATAATGTTTTCATAGACTACTTCTCAAAATAGGAAAGCTTATGTCACCGACATAGAAAATGGCAAAATGGCACAAAGAAACAGAAATATACAAGTTCAAATGGGGGGGAAGGAATGAAAGACGGTATCATATTAAATGGCATTACTGTTAAGTATGTCACATGCTAAAAAGTCAGTATCTGTAAGGTTTTTTCAGGTTTACAGAATACAGGATGCTATAGAAATATTTTGTCTGTTAACAGACTGATAGTTAAATGAAACTTACATAAATAGAGAATTGCAACATAAGTCAGCTGTGACTGTGAAATAACTCAGTATTTGTTTTACACTACAGATACAAATAGAAAAAAAACAGATAAACTACAGAGTTGCATTATATGATAAGCATAAAATTATGCAAAATGAGTTATCAAAAATACAGTATCTCAAACAATGTTCACTACTGATACATGAATAGTTGACGTAGGAATAAAAGTATATTACTAGTCATTGAATTTCAACTTATAAAAGTACAGACAGAAAAATAAAAATTAAATAAGCATAAAAACATAAGAAATACTAGATTGGGACTTTGAGGCAGCAAATTCAGACCGTATATTTCCTGTTGTTTTTTGTAATCAATAAATATATTTCAGGGAATACATTATCTCAGTCTTTCAGCATTCTTCTGAGAGTCTTATGCAATTTCTTTGCACACTGAAACTCTTCCTACTTTTTTCTCATTCTTGTTTTTGGTTGATTGCCACACTGTCTCCTAGTCACTATTTTTAGCGTGTAACAGATTATGTCAGTTAAGCAGAAGCTTACTGTCTCTTTTCCTCCTGGCCCCTTTAAAGCTCTCCTATGAAGACAATTTCACTCTGTGATATTAGTAAATCTTCAGATAAATTTGAAAACCCCATAGTATTAGTGTACTGATAAATACTTCTGCTATATGCATTTTTTTACAT